CAGAGAGATATTTATCGATTTTTACAGATATGGCGATGATTCTCGATGAATATCGCCCCAAAAAATTTCCTGATGTTCTGCATTAATTCAATGAATAATAACTCCAAGGAATGGTTGCTGAGTACATGCTGTTCAAATATTCAGGATAAGTGCTAGTTTACTATAATTCAATTTTAAAATATCTTTTATATTTATTCTCATAGTTTCAAATTTATTTTTACAAATGCCATCTTCAATTATTTCTAAGATAGTCATGAACAGGTGATATTCATTTTTGCAATTTTTTATGTTATTAGTTATATCATTAATGAATGTATTGTGAGGTTCAACAAGATCGTTACTTCCAAAAGATTTTTTATTTAAAGAATCGAGGAATGTAGAGGAAGAAATGGGCAAGCTAGAGTGAGACATAATAAAAAAAATAATAATAAAAAGTCTGTAGTAAAAGCGAAATTCGACGCAGACAAAAAAATAAAATTTTTTATATCAGAGGAAAAAAAATGGCTTTTATATAGAGCGAGGCGATCCAATATGTAGATTAACACAATGATGTGGAAATATTCTTTTATTAAATATAATTTACTAGAGCGATTAATTTAACATGCAATAATTAACTCTTAATTTACGTAATTAAAATTTTAATTATAATGTTTCAGCTGCTTAACCAATATTAATTATAACGATAATAAATGATATGATATGTGTTATATAAGGATTTCATCATGTGATCATTTGGACTCTGTTCAAAAAAAGCTATGAGTCGGTCCTAAAATGTCCAAGTCCGGTGAGTATTTTAACATTATTGACAATAATGTTGAAATGATTATTACATTAATCTGGCTGATTTGATAGATTTCTAATAAACTTTCAAATCACCTTTTAACATCATGATAAAAATATCAACTTTATGGCAATACACGAGAGCATTTATGATATCTTTTGCGAACTTCAATTTTTGTATCAATGGAATTTCTACGTCTGAATGCAGATACCATTCGTGATCGTGCTTCAGTCACCACATGTAATTCTACATTTTTTTCAATTTCTTTGATATCATTTGCTAATAAAATATATCATGCTAATAACGATAGTTAACATTAAATTTCTATTAAGAAATGAAAAGGATTTTATATTGGAGTTTTGGCAATATTGTTGAATTTCAAACTGATATCCTAAGAGGCTTATGTTGGGTATTAGGACTAACAGACGGATTAATTGTTTCAATTTGTACGTACCTTCAAAAATAAAATAGAATAGAAATGAATATGTAATATTGTTTGGTATGCTATTTAATTAACTTACCAGCTATTTGGTTCTGTCAATTTCAACTTGTAGATTAATAACATCAGCTTCTTCTAAGTCATAATTGTTAGCTTGAATTGAATCTAGTTCTCTCATTCAAATTTAAACGTTGATTATAGGAACTTGCTAAAGTCTAAATATTAAATATAAAAAGCAATGCTCCCATCGCAATCCCAATAATCCTCATGATAAGAATGTTCACATTTTTCACTATATTGATTGATAATTGCAAATCTAATATATTCATGAAGCTCATTTCCATGGATTATTATTCTTTCTATTGACTGTATATCAAGAGTAATTCAAATGTTGCAAATTTTTTATTAAAAAATTTAAATACCGTAATTTGACGCATAAACCACCCCTGCCGTAGAAAATTAAAATTAAAATTTAACTACAAGGCTGTTGATTAGTAATTAAAATTTTTAAAAATGAATCTCAATTATTTATTTTGCGGAAAAATAATTGGTTTTACTAAAAAAAATTGGACCAAATTAAGGTTTAAAATTTTCTACATAACAGACAAATGAAACGTCACATCAATCGTATAAAAGCTGTTTACGAAAGTCCCTCTAGGAGCTGTCAAAACTATCAAAATTAAGAGAAAAGTTAATTTAGACGTCAACTAATTTGCACTATCTATACGCCCATGTATTAATATAATGTAATTATGCGACAATCTCTTTAGCAAAATATTGTCAAAATCGAAACTCTATGTTTCGACGGATTCATTAAATAGTTTTGACTTTTAATTTTTAACAGGTTTACCGTACAAGCGCGTAATAATGCGCAGATGCGCGTTATTTCGGGACGCCCATGAGCGTTATTTTGAGTCAAATATGCAGTTTTCAGAATTTCGAAATAACGCTCATGGGCGCTTATACTGTAATTATAATGTTCCAAAATTTATTTGCAAAAATTAATATCTCATGAATTGAAAAATTAAATTCTAATCCTTATTAATAAAATTGGCAAAAAAGGGACTATTGCGGCCGATACAATTTATAGATGAATAACGCCGGCATAGAAAAAGCAACGAAATACATTACGGCCAAAATAATTAAAGCTTTAGTGAAAATTTAGGTGGAAGGATTTTCTTTTCTAAAATTAACAAAGAATTTAAGCGTAATAACTCTTAGTAAATATTCATCTGGCGGAAGTAAAGACAAAAGCTTTTGTAATGTGCAATACTACTCTTTGCTATCAATAATTGAGGAAAAAGCTAATTAATGGCATATAACTCAGGATTTGAGCTTGAGAAATTACATGATATTGAAATTCTACATGATGAGCTGAAACCCTGTGTCAAAAATCCGGCTAAAGCGGGGCTTCGGTTTATCCACTGCTAATACGTACTTTCTACTATCGGTATGAAAAATTTTGGTTATCCAGATTAGTTTAATATGAGACTAGAGAACAGCAATTTTATTATAGATTAAATTATTCTGTTTAACCGGAGGGGATTGAACGCCGAAATTTGTCGAGTAGGAAATTGACGTCTCATTGATACAGTAATATTTTTTGATTTAATAAGAAACAAGTGTATCACTATTTTGTATTCTTATTTTCACCATGCTAAAACGAGCCTATGACTGAAGTACAATTGGTGATAATTCCGATTGTATTTGGGAATGAGTAAGCAAATGACAAGAAAATATTTATATACATGTATATCTCGCTAGCAAAAGAACCTTTTTTGTGTTAAAGTACAATACATACTAAAATTTTATCTGCCAAAAATGAAACACCTCTATTCCTGCATTTTGATTTGAATCTTACAATTTTTTTATAATGATTTATGACACGTGCCCATGTAGAACCACCACCTTATCAAACAAATGATCTCTCACATACATACTAATACACAAACACGTAATGTTATCGTTATATTTTTATCAATAACTGCGGTGGTTCTAGTAATTTCCTGCGTAATATATAAAACCTTTACGCCATTCGATCAACCATTTTATGATACAGAGCAGCAATACATAATTTTTCAATTTTTTTGTATAAGGAAACGCACAAAGAATCCTAACATTCGTTCACCTTTTTATTTGGAAATAAGAATATTTTCTTTTCGCACAAATTTAAATATTTGACCAGAATAAAAATTCAAATCCAAGAAAGGGTTTGTCACCAATTTCAGGGTTTAATTTTTCTCAGATAACAAAAAAGAACGACACTACAATTAGAAATTCCTAAAATAATAGAGATCAAATCGAATCGTCAAATCAACAACATCAACATCATGGCCAAAGAAGAGCAAAAAGAAAGTCAAGGCGACGCGAGTTTCTATGAACTTGATGACGAAAAGACTATACTTTCTCTCAAACTACCTCAAAATCTATTGTCGGAATGGTTTCATGGACGCTCAATAGCATTATTTATTTGTTTGGATATTTCGGGTATTGATGTTTTTCGATATTTAAATTAACACACCCACAAAACACACAATTACGATTTTTTTAATTAATGCTATTAATTGATTTCCGGATTGAAAAAAGGCTCAATGGCTGGCTCGGGAATTCGTCAAGCAAAGCAAGCGATATTGACATTGTTGGAAGGTGTTCTGACGACTGGCGCATGCAAGGAAGAAGAGGTCACATGCTTCTTTTTTAATCATGGATGTCAAGAGGTTCCATTTGCCGATAATCCAAGTTTACGTTGGGAAAATGGTGGAATCAAGGCATATTTTGAGAATATAGCTGCTACCGGAGGTAATTAAAATTTTTTTCTCTGTACTATTTAAGCGAGTATATTTCAAGTTCTCAATCGTGCATATGAATTGAATTTAATTGAATTTTCTAGGTACAAATTTCAGTGCCGTTTATGAATCGATCGTAAAACATATTTCCAATGTAAAGACAGATTTGGCTGTCATATTCTTTACTGACGGTCAAACAACACCAGTCTCTCAAGAGAAACAAGATGCACTCGCCCATGCACTTTCTCACTCGAAATATGGGACTGAGGTGCACACAGTCGGATTCACTGGTGACCATGATGCAGGTAAAGAAAAAAGATTTGTTTTCAGAACTGTAAATGAAGAAGGCTTAATCTCATAATCCACTTTGCACGTAAATTTGCGCATAATAGTTATTTTATCATGGCTCACAAAACTTGGAACAAAACAAGGAAATTTCCAATATGTTAAATCATCGAGTGACATCCCAAACACGATGAAGACAACACTAGAACTATTAGCATTGGGAGATAGAAATGTCTTTGTGAAAATAGGCGGCCAAGAACTACAAACATCATTTGATAATGAAGGTCGAGGCAGACTTGTACTCACGGGCGAGAACAAAAATGTGCGCGACAAGAAAATAACGATTCTCAAAGAAAAAGAGGGCGTCAACACACACATCGTCGACGCGCTTCGTGAGGTCAATCAAAGTGATCCGGAAGCAACGCTATTGACAATTCCGTTTATACAACATGAAATCACCAGATTGACGAATGAAGTGGTGGCTAACTCTGATGAGGACGGAGATCGTGAGAAATTGAATGAAATCGCGAATGAAGCGGAAAAATATGATGCGAAGTTGAATGTTATTCTTGAGAATGCTTTCAAGATTAAGTCTATTTGGAGAAATGTTACTATACAACAATGTATGAATGTGAAGTCGATCCTTAATAACTTTAAAGATTTGCTGTCAGAGTAGGTGATCATTGTTGTTTAAGGTAATTCTTTATTGTCTCAGAAACCCATTAATCAAATCTACTGCTGCATTCATAGAGCTCTCAAAGGGACCCTAACGAATGAAAAAATCGCTACTTTCAACAATTTAGCATATAAAAATGTAACTAAGAGTCGATTAAAAAAGAGACTCGATGAGCGTACAATAAAAAATATTGCTCAAATGGAAGCCATAGAGGAACGTTTACAAGCATTAATCAAATCAATTGATTTCGACGAACTAGATCAAAATGAATCCGAAGAAAATAAATCCACTTTTACTTGCACGCTGACAACAGGTAAACTTATTTGATTTTCTCCTAATCTTAGTATGGTATTGACATTACGTTAAATCTTCAACGAAAAATTAGATAATTATATTGAGGCTATGCGTGAAGGAGAATGCATGTGTCTTGCTCTTGACATTGCACGTCCAGAAGCAGCTATCGCTGATCCGACTCAGCTCAAAATTAAGACAATCAATCAAACATTTCTTACCTCGGATGCTTTCATGACTTCGGTTGGACATGCACTTGAAGAGAATACCGAAGAGAATGTGCATGGGGGATTTCAAGGTCCTTCGTTTGGTGCGAGTGTAATTAAAGGCATCGCAAGAGAAGATATCACAGGTATTATACGTAATTACTGTATGTGATAGAAATGAATTTTATATTTTCAAGATTTAATTATTTGTTTGGTCATTTAGGAATCCTGCCGCTATACATCAATGAAAAGCATTGGCAGATAGCAAAAGAAAGAATTAAGGTACTTTAAATCATTTTGAAGAAATGGATTTTTTTTATTGCAAATTTATAACAATTACTATTTTTTGTTGACAAAATAGCCCATTTTGGGCTATATGACCACTCTGGACGTGTTTGGGTATTCTTATGCTCAACTCACGACGATTCCATTCCTTATCTTGGGGAAAGCATTCACAGACACATCAATGGATTTTCGTCGAGTCCAATTCAAACTGATCCTAGAAACTTGTGATGCAATCTACAAGCAAGCCACAAACCTTCGCGAAGAAAACAAGGTTCTCTTTGAAAAATACACGAAGTCGCCCCTAAATCGAACCATTGATAGTGTCGCGAATCACGAAGTCTTGTTCGGTCATTTACTTTGTGCTGTACGATGTGGAGATGTTTCGTTAGCTCAGGTGCATTCTTATATACAATCGGGCATGATAAAATATGCCGTCGAAGAGACCATTCGACGAAGACTTAATCGAAATATTGGCAACCTTGAGGAACAGCTGAATAATACCCAGATGTTATTAGGAATTGATCAGAAAGAATATTTCGACGAACCTATTCATGAATTCTCAAAGGCGTATGCTATCTATGTCAAAGAGGTGAAAGATTCAAAGAAGTCGGTTAATGATCGGTATTCTAGTGCATTTTTAGCCGAATTAGCTTTAACTAATAATACTGATCAAATGGAAGTCGAATCCAACTACAATAAATCAGAGCAAGATGCAAACCGAATGGATGTAGATGAAATTATTGCACCAACGGTCAAGACAAAACCTTATGATTCATCGAAATTCAAAGTGATTCCGACAAGCATTCAAGTATTGAACAAGATAAAAAATATCATGTCAGAAAGTGTGGAAATTATTCTCCGCTATCGAACAATATTCGAATGGGCAATCCGAGCAAACTCGGTTAACTTTCTGAATTTTCCCGAATTCAATAAATTTGTCCCCGAGAAGACGCCATACACTGATAATTTCTTTAAACGGTTTTCGCCCAAAGTTCAATTAGCAACAATCCTTCAGGCATACATTCACCGACAAAACTCTACGAGACGTGAAGCTGCTGAAGGATCCACACCCACCATCGTATTCTTTGAGCCATTTTCAGAAACGACCGCCGACAACATTCTGTCAATTCAGTTTGACGAGTGTGTTTCAAGTACTTTGAAGCGTAGCGCGTCAGAAATTATTGCTTCATATACAAAGCAGGCAAATAATGCTGTTGGTTTTGATTTTTGGGAGGCGACGTCTCCTGAAGAAGCTGCGGGATTATTAATCCTTGATGTGAAATGTCGTGGAACAAAAATATACGCGCAGATAATTAAAGCTTTCCAGAAACCGCATATGCCATTGGCACGAGAGAAGCTTGAGATGATGGTATCTGGTTCTTGGAAGGGTGTCCGATTATTTAAGGACATGTTCACTAAATTACCTGGTAAATTTCGATTTTATTGAATATGTACTAAGCGAATTTCCAAAAAAAAAGCTAATTTTTTTTTGTATACTAATGATTATAGAAAAGGCTGTTTGGATTCCCTCTCGACAAAATTTGTATAGGACATTAACAGCGCAAAAAGAGAGTGTGCCTGATGTCAGGTTCTGGACCACGTTAATACCAAGTGCTAAAACTTATATTGAGCATCAATTTGATCAGGAATATTTGACTCGTCGACGTCGTGAAAAGTGGCAGCTTAGAGAACAGAAACGTGGACATGAACTCAACTGATTCAATCCTGTCTGCAATTACGCAATTATATATAGTATATATTTAACATAACCTATTTTGTCTTATTTGACTAATATTTATTGAAAATGTTTTCTTAAAATGTAACGCTAAATTTTCACTTTTAACTTAGCGTTAGTAACTAAATGTTCACAAGCTAATTTAAACGATAATAACGATAACTTTTAGTTTAGCCAACAATTTTATATAATAAAAATAAGTTTGATATTACATGTTTTGGCATCCAACGACACGTGCATTATCGTTGTAACATAGATGTGCATGCATTACTTCTACACAAAGAAAAGAAGATGTACGATGACAGATAATAAATGATGTAATTTGCGGTGGATACATGCTAACTAACAGGGCTGTGTATGAAGATAAGAATGCCACTACACCTGCATTTAGGAAAGGGTGAGTTTCGAACAAGAAATGGTATAGCTGAAAACCATCCATCCTTACTAACGAGACAGAAAGATAAAAAGTTAAGAGTGAACATGGATGATTGACATATTAATAATCAATTAAATGTGACAGTAACCTAACAGTAACCTTCTACATGTACATGCATGCGTTTCACAAAACTCATCCATCAGATTCCGGTTTCCCGGAAAAAGAAGGAAACACAATGTCAACTGATGCCATATGCAGTATAACGGATATACATTATTTATCAACAACGTTACATCATTATCGTTATTCATTTCTCTGGAGCCTCCTTTCCATCTTACATCTAATACGTAGAAGTCTCGCGCATGGAGTTTTTGTGTACCCGACAGAACCAATCGATAGTATAAAATAATAAAATAGAAAATCTATGATATAATATTATTGTGTGCTTAGCGCCATCGTATGATTTCCCTGTCTACATGTATTACACGTTCTTTTATTAGATGTACGTGCGTTTTCATTGCTCGGAGTAGAAAAAATCGCTTTATAATCTTTTTTCTGTATTATCACCACCATTAAGTTTTGCATTTTATTATTGTTGTGTATTTGTTGCACATATTTTTGCTATTCTTATATATTATTGTCATTGATATTTTTAGTTAAAAAAACCATCAAAATTATATATAGTACAGCACATTATCGTCATCGTTCAGACTCTCCCCTCAATTAATAATAATCATATAATTGATATAATTGGCTCGCGCAAGCTTCGTCCTTTTGTTTAGCGTGTGGAGATAAATATATAAAGAGAAAATCTAGGATTTGTTTTTCAAAGAATATTCTTGACTTAAAATCCATTCATTGTTCAATAAATTTATTCAGACAAGCAAAAGCAATAAAAAAAAAGATGGCTATATTCAAACTCACATATAACTCGACAACACGCCAGCTAATAATTCCTGGGTGTGCGTCCTGGGCCGCAATCCAATCGAAAATTCGGACGATATTCGAGATACCGAACGACAAAAGTATTTATATTTCTCTTGTAGATCAAGAGACGCACACTCTTAGAGTTATAGAGTCTGTTTCGGAACTGAAAAAAGCTGTGAAATCAAAGCTGGGTGGAGGAGATGTAAAATTGTTGAATTTGTCCGTTACTACTGAGATGCCTGATGAGACGGAGGGAATAAAGGATGATGAATTTGTAGAGAAGTCGGAGGAGTCGAAAAGTAATAAAAATGAACAAGATCAAAAGGGACATCGTCCAGGAGTAATGCGTCGAATAGCTACATTCGGAATCCCACAGTGTAATCGAAATCCACAAAACAATGATATCGTAACAACGATAAAACAAATTTTCTTACCATTTCTCTCGAAACCAACACATCAAATATACAAATTCTTCACAAATGCCAACAATAACAACGACACCGAAGATTTTATATTCAACTTCAAAAGCTTCGACTTCATAAAATCCGTTTCTCTATTCATCGTCTACACGTCACTCTCGTCACTTTTATTATTCATCCTACTGAAAAATTTCTTGGAGATGATAAAAGTGTTGCTACCGACTATTGTTGTGCTGGTGATGGCGTTCTGCGTCATTTGGTCTTGGGAGACTTTTATTGCTACTCTTGAAAACCAGAATAAAAAACCAGTAACATCATCATCATTGTCGTCGTCATCATCAACTATAACAATGTCTTCCTAAAAAAAAAACATTTATTTTGTTACTTTTGTACATAAATTTTTCTGCATTTTCTGAAAATCAATAAAATCAATACAATTCCACTTTGGTTAAAAATTTGTATACGTAGTGTGTGTGTTTCTATAGAACAGTACGTATCCGTTATTTGATGTACATGTAATACATTTCAACTAGAAGAATATGTACATGTAATACATTTCAACTAGAAGAATAATAATCTATATACTAACTAATAAATTAAAATTATTATTGTTATTGTCGTCGTCGTCTCGTCGTCGTCGTCATTGTCATCGAACTTCGTTATTATTTATCGTTATTATTTTGTTATCATTAAGTATTATTATCGGTATTATTTATTGCTCCGTAGTAATAACAGGTTTCATCCCAAAAATTCTCATAGAAACCCAATAAGTCTGAAAATTATTAACTTCTCGTCGAAATTCCCCGACTTTCTCGTCATAGTCCTCATCGCTCAATCGCATGAACGGGGCCAACTCTGATTTCAGTTGATTAAACCATTGTGAAAGATCATTAAGTGCTATCACGCCAAGTTTATCGCCCCATTCGCCAATCGGATGACAATTTTCTTCGATATCAATGTCTACGATTCCAGCGCTTTCGAGGAATTTGTCCAATAGGGGAGTGATTATTGGGTTGATCTTTTTGGAAGTTAATTGTGCTTGAACTATATTTCATATAGAAATGGATTATTAGCATTGATTTGATTCAGAGAAAACTAAATTCTTTACATACTTGCAGATAATAATTCATTAGTCGACGGCCCTTCATTCATCGCTTTCATGTCCAAATCCATTATCTCGATATACCCGCCTGGCTTCAACACACGAAACAAATCTGGTATAACACGTTCACTCCACTCCACCTCGGTAAAACAACTACCCATAAATCTAACGTGGATTAAATCAAAAGTATCCGTTTCAAAGGGTAACTTTTCATTCACTACATCGCACTGTTCAAAATTCACATTCATTGGTTTGACACTGTTCGGGAACGTTGCCGATATATCAACACCCGTGAATTGTGATAATGTGTAGTCGTTTGCCATGTCGAGAACCCAAGTACCCGGCCCACAACCGATATCTAGTACTCGGGCTCTTCCCGATCTTAGTTTATCACCTATTGGTGAGGAAAAATTGGTTTGCCATATGTATCGGAATCTTTATACAGAAATGAAGAGAAAAAGCAACATTATTTTCGGACACAGTAGCGTTTTGAATGAGATCCATTAGTAACAATGTGATGTTTTCCAAACCTGACAAATCATTATTATGATGAAAAGATAGAAATAAATAAAATACTTGCAGAAAATGTTGGGAGGTCATTCGATCATTTTCATCGTCGGTATTTGGCAGTGGATATTTTTTCGCCTCATCATTAGATATATTTTGTTGCGATGACTTTTTTTCATTATCTTTTGATGAAAGTGATCGAGATGCCGTATTTTTATCACGCCCAGAAATGCAATTACCCATTGTGATTTTATTAATAATTTAATCTATAATAGTTTCTCTGTATTATTCGAAAGAGAAAAGAAAATTAAAAAACAGCGAGAAAAAAAGTGGGTAATAAATAATCAAGCCTTGATCTAAAACGTTATCAATATTATTAACACGATCTAAAACGTTATCAATATTATTAACACGATCTAAAACGTTACGTTATCAATATTATTAACACGACACGATAACCATTTACCATTATTATTGTTTATTTATAGTATAGCGTGCATGTGTGTCTGTGTCTCCCAACAAATAAGTAACAAATTATAATATCTCATTATCGTTGATGATAAATGATCTAATATTAAGTACTATATGTGAATTATCATTCATACATACGTAGTTACAACAAATCTTGGCAGAAATGCTGACAAAACGAACAGAGTTCTGGCAATCACAAGACAAGAAATGAACACGCACACATTGACAAAAAGATAGTAATGCAATCAAAGCCTAAAAGGAAAATTCTTAGAAAAAGTTATTGCAGAAAGAAATGAAGAATATTCTCTAACACAACGCTTCACGCCATCTAACCGTTTCTTATAAAACGTTCTAATACCATGTGGTCGTTGTGTTACGCAGTTGTCGGGATGTTATCATTATCAATATGAGCCAAAGACAGATTTTTCAGTATGTCATTTTTCAAAAACGCACAAAGTTCAATACTGTATCTTGAAAAAAAAAATAAATACATACATCCCTATTGCTATCGCTATAACGATAATAGAAATTATTTGATGAACAATGACAATCGTGTATTATCCGACTCTATCAACTCTTGCTTAACGAGTTTCCAATCGTCTTCATTCTCCATTGGACTCCATTTTGTATGAAATTTATACCAAATCATGCTGAATTTTCGCTTGAAGCGTTGCTGTATATAATATTCCAGATGATGGAACGACCCTTCCGCTTGCCAGCGAATCGCTGTTGTGTTCGTTCCAAACATGCAGTTAATGAAAAACTTGTTTATCATCGTTATCAAGAAAAAAAGATTGATTAGCCTATTATAGAAGGTTAAGATAAAACAATGATACAGTACTTCAAGATCAATTGTAGGCTCTTCCAGCTTTTTTTCCATTGCTTTTTCCAAAGCAGCCAGGTATCTCTCATGCTCTTCGTAATACCGGATGCTACCACGAGGTTTGATATCTCTATTATAGATTTCTTTCGACAACAGTGACGACCTATGTACCTACAAATGATAAATAATGTAATTAATTGCGCATAGAAACAAATAATCAAAAATAATCATCATCATAAACCTGTGTTAGCTCTTTAGGTTTTGGAACTGCAGGTGTCTTTAGCGCATACAATGCCTTTTGAACTCGAAATCTAAACCTTTCAATTACATCCAGTGTTATTTCTTTTACCGGACGACAAGTGATTTGATCTGCGCCAATAAATTGTTTCAAGCTTGTGTTTTTCTTGTATTTGAATGTGCGTATTAGATTAGTACATATAATAAAATCAATTGAATATAATACCGATACCTTGAAATTTGCGTATCTTAATCTGATTTTTATTTCGCCAGAATCAAGGTCCACGTTGAAAGTGAGAATTTCACTTATAGGAATCTCCATGACATTCTTAACTTTACTAAAGCTGATTGAAATCATTTTACGATTATCGGAAAAGTGTAGCATAATATCATGTTTAAATTTACTAATTAATTCATTGTTGTTGTAGCCATTTCTGCTGCTGCCGTGTTTGTTGTGATCATTGCTGTAGCGGTTCTTGTTATTAGTGTTGTTGTAGTAGTTGTTAAGAGGCAAGATTATTTGAATAGATTTTAACTCTAACTCTATGACGACTTCTTTATTAATGTTTGATGAACGAGCTGAAAAAGTGTCAAACTCTTGAGTAGTGCCTTTTATTTTTTGTTATATTGAGGAGATAATAACTATATATTTCGTGCAATCCAGTAATACTTTAGAAAAATAATTTCACTCACTTGACCCGTTCACCCATTCTATGTCTTCACCTTCGTCATCTGATAGATGATTGCTGAAGTTGTAATCCATTATCGTTATTGGTAGTTTCGCAGAAAATCTTGCGTGTTGTGTGTATGTGTGTCTCAGTGAATAAATATTTTCTTGGAGCAAAACATAATAGAAACAAACGAATATATATAAAATACTTTTTCCTTGGAATTTGAAAATGTAAAACTTTTACTACTATTACTCTACTAAAAGGGAAGAAAAAAATTGCAGAAAGTGATTAAAAATGAATTTGTGATGTTTTTCATAATTATGATACATATATGGTACGTAGTAAGTTGTATAATTTGCTATTTCTGACTCATTGATGTTTTTATTTGTCTATACAGTATTTTGATATCGATAGCATAGCGGGCTTTAATTTGATTGGATGATCGACTGAAATGTTACACAATATGCTCTACATATTAGCGTAACGTTTTTCAATCACAAAAATTGATTGGCAGCCACAAATACGAATTGGCAAAGCTTGTGACCAAAATAATTTAAAAGGA